TGAGAGCTCTGGTCAGGTTTGCGGGGGGGGGGGGCGGGAGGTGCGGGGGGGGGGTGGGGGGGGAAGTGTTCCGGGCGCCTACGCTGGATAAAGCACTGCTAATGGTAGTCGAGCATTTTGAATCCGAGGGATTGCTCTAACAAACTTTTCTCGATGTATTGTTCCAGCTTTGCAATGCAGATTTTTCCGAACTGTGTTCATTATTTGAGAATAGTATGGTATAGCTTGTATTATTGTGCATTTCTATCTATAAATAAAACTATGAATAGATCTGAAAAATATGTGTGTCGATCAATGACAACCTTTGTGCTTATTTTATGCAACACTTCTTATATCGAAATTTTTATTTTGTTCACGTAAATAAAAAAAAAAAAAAAGAAGTGTTTTATATGACATTTGGTATAGATTTCTAGGCAATTTCCTGTTGAGTCTTTTGATAGAAAAAAAAAAAGATATATTGATCAAGCAAAAATAAGGAAAAGAGATGTTGAGAAAGTTCATACTGAAATCGTTTCTGGTTCACTTGTTAATAATTATTGACGTTTGAGAAAAATAAATATGACTTTAGTTCAACGTTTAAATGACAAACAAACAACTACAGTTTGTTCATTTGTTCTAAATGTCATTTTTATGGATCAGTGTTAAAATTTAATTATTCTTATTTTTAGGCATCCGATAAATTAAGAAAAAATGCATTGACTACCGTTCGACACATCGAATTTTGTCTTTCGAGTTGTAATTATGGTTCAGACGAATCAGCTCATATGGGTAAAAATCTTGTACCTCTTCTCAGTAGTTATACACCATATTTACAAACATTGCGTCTTTGGCGAGATGACGACTTTCCTTGGACATCAAGTAAGTTGATATGTGTTTTCAATAAAAATATTTTTTTCTACGAATATTTAATTGAAGGAAATCTGAAGAGTTTTTCGATTTGATAAATTTTTTTATAAGATAAATTAATATAAAATATTTCTCTTTGTTTAAGTTCGACCAAAATATGAAACAAAATATTTATGTCAACTTTTGAGTAGACACTGGATAAAATCCTTACGAACAACTCAATCAATTAGTACGTTTATCAAAAAAAATTACAAATAAATTATTTAAAAAAAAAAATTTTTTTTTATTTAGTTGAACATGTTGCTGTCTTTCAACAAGATCTTTTTGAATTAGTTGAACAATTAAAAGAACTTGTTTTACTCGATATTTATGGAGAAATCAATCGTGAAAAAATCGAACCTTATCGTTCTATGGTTCAAATGCACTTCCCTAATAGTCGAGTTCATATCGAAATAATAAGATTTCGTTTTTGGATTTGATTTTTTTTTTCTAAGAATAAATTGGAACTGATTGAATATCAAAATAAATAAAAAAAAAATATGCTGCGTTATCTCAATACGTTTCTATATAAATACATACATTATTAAAAAATTCTTTAAACATATTCTGAAACAAAAATTTTTTATTATTCAAAATATCTTTTTCCGTAAGAAAAATATATTTGTATTTGTGTAATACTTTTTACATGAATTATTATTAAAGAACATATGACGAAAATAAAACAAAATAAATAATTGAATGTTTTTAAAAATAAAATTTAGTTTAGAAAATAGTTTATTTATTTTTTTTATTCCATATATTAAATCGATGAATAAACAATAAATCAGTCGATAGATAGGATATGTTAAAATAGGTCGAGTGAATCATATTGTGCTCTATGAATAACATAAACGAATGCATCGTTCTACAATGTCTTTATTACGAAATATATATCTTATGTACCAGAGAAAGAAACAAATGATTTTCTTCATATAAAGGAATATTGATCTCTTTTAAAACTATTGAAAAAAAGCTTGTATAAAAATTAATTAAGATTATTTTTTCATAGATAATTTAAAAACATGGCATCAATTGGTTTAATATCAGATACTCATGTGGTCGTTGACAGAGTTTTCGTTTGTTTTTGACCAAGGGGGGGAAAAATTTTTTTTCCCAAAGAGAATCTGCTGGGAGAAAACGAAAATATTTTTCCAAAGAGAAAATCCGCTGGAGAAAAACGATAAATTTTTCCAGGGAGACTTTCTCCCAAAATTTTA